CCCCCCACCCCGCAAGAAAGGTCCACCCAAGGAGTCAAATCCTCAAGTCCAGACCGGGACGGTGGGACAAGCCTCATCTATCAGTTCGTGATCAGTTAAGCCCGACTATCTAAGAAGCCCTTATGAGAGGGGGGGGGGCTTGCTGTCTTTTCATCTGGAAAGGCCAAAGAGAGGGAGGAAAAAAAAGGCCAGAGAAGGAAGCTCTTTGTACAGGGAGCTAGGTCTTTAAAATGAGAAACGCAGCCTCGTCTCAAAGTGTCCGTCGCACTCCGGGGTGCGTCTGGCTTGTTTCACCCCCTTTCTTGCCCGTCTGCCTCCAAAGCAGCTGGAGTCGCGCCAACAGTGCCGGTGCCCCCCTCCCCCCAGGATCTCTGCCAGAGTCCACCCCGCCGGCCGACGCGCGGACGGTGTGCCGGGCGGGGGCACACACAGGCGGGAGTGGAAGCGGGTGCCCGTGGGCTGACGCCGGGGGAGGCCGGCTCACGCCAAGTCCCTTCCCAGCCGCTGCGCTGAGTCCAAACACGGCTGCCAGAGTCCGAGTGGCAAGGGTGGGGCGGGCGGGCACGATGGCGGGATAAGGCAGAGGTCGAGGGCCAAACCCTGAAGAAAGGAGGAGCCGCCGTCACCAAAGGCGATGCTGGTGCAGGTTCCGACTGAGCACCGACCGGACGTCCGCTGTGAACCTGGAGCGAGGGATGAAGAGTGAGTGCCGCGCTCCCAGGGCGACCGCCTTTGTTTATCCCTCCCCCCCCCACCACCACCACAGAGTTCTAGTTTGCTATCTGCCCTGGACCAGCCTTGGAACTCCCTCCCTCCCAAGGGAGATCTGTCTGCCTCCTATCGGTGCCTTCTGCCAGTGGCGAACACTTTTTTGCTTCGGTTGGCGTCCCTCCAGCAATGGTGACTGGCCCTCCCTCTGGCCTTGTTTGTGTTTCTAATCGAATTATTTTATACTTTTAACCGTTCAACTGTTCTAATGTTTCAGCGCCTTTTGGACCCCGGCTGGGTGGAACAGCAGCATAAAAATGTCTTAAATGCCACACAGTAAGCCAGAGGAAAAGCTCAGCCGTTCAACAGATGATTCCATAAAAACCTTGCTATGACTTGGAAGAACTGAATTGGCACCTCTCGGCTTCCTCCTGGTGAAGACGAGGGGCGGGAGTCCCTTTGCAGGAGAGTATTTTGCCCAAGCAAAGTGTCTGAAATCCGATAACCGACAGAAAGCCGGTGTGGTGTAGGAGTTGGAGCGAGCAAGGATCTGGGAGAGCAAGATTCGAATCCCCACACAGCCATGAAGCTCCCTGGGTGACCAATTTATTATTTAAAACAGGCTGCCTCGGGAGGTGGTGGAGGCTCCTTCGCTGGACGCTTTCAAGCGGAGGCTGGACGACCATCTTTCGGGTATGTTGTAGGGCTCTCTTTCGGCTCTGCTCCTGCAGAGTGCAGGGGGTTGGACTAGATGACCCATAAGGTCCCTTCCAACTCTAACATTCTATGATTCTATGTTGACTCGCCCCCCCAAGCAGGGTCCACAAGGAAGCACAAAGTACACTGGCCAGGCTCAGGAGGGGACAAGGAAAGCTGCAGGGGGTTGGTCTGGACCCAGCTGGTGCTGGTGTGGGCCTAGGAAAGGATGCCATAAAAAGATTTAAATATTTGTGCAATTAAAAGTACATTTAGACATTATAAAATGATTCAGTTAACAGCACTAGAAGTGGGGCCAGGAACCATTATTGAGGGTATGGCAGACAAGCAGAAAAGTGTTCACCTGCCAGCAAAAGACACTGACAGAGGGAGTTGAGGGGCCATGACCGAGAAGGTCTTTTCTGGGGCTGCCATCCATCTAGCTTCCGATGGCAGGGGGGGCAACCAGAGCAAGGCCTCCAAAGGTGAGCAGGCCAGTCACTCTCTTTCTCGGGGGAACCCACCTCACAGGGTTGTTGTGAGGACACAATCAGCGGAGAACCACATACGTGACTCTGAGCGCCTTGCCAGAAAGGTGTGTCTAAAAAGGGACCTGACCGACGGATCAGTGCCACAGGGTCTCGCTCTTTGTTTTGATTAGCACACACAACTACACCGGGCCCGGTGGCACACACACCCCGGCACACACCCCGGCCTTACCTCAAGGCATCAAGCATGGGGAGCAGATTGAGGAGAGCCGTGTCGCCGGGGTCGCTGAACCAGGACTTGATGGGGATGGCGTTATCTGTCGAGCAACACGCGAGCGTTAGCCGTCACCAATGTTCCCTCTAAGCTGTGGAGTCTTGTGAGCAAAAATTCTACTTTGTGAGCTACAGGCATCGAAGTTATGAGCAAGAGATTTGGCTGCTGCATACATTAGTTTGCTCTGGAGCCCTCCTTCCTGAGCTAAGACAAAAAATCTGTGAGCTAGAGGCTAAAAAACTGTGAGCACTAACTCAGCTTAGAGGGAACACTGGCCGTCACTCTGTTCTTTTGCGCCTGGCCTTGTTCTCACTGGGGGACACACTACTTTAGGGAGGGGGGCCTTGCCCCTCCAATCCCACTGCTCCTCCACACAGCGCATTTTCTCGCAACACAGGAAACGGAGCCCTCCACATAAAGTGGTACAGCCCAACTGACAAGAGCCAGAGTCCAGTAGCGCCTTAAAGACTAACAAAATCTGTGGCAGGGTAGGGAGCTTTCGTGAGTCACCTTTGGTGAGCAGTGACTCCTGACAGCTCATCCCCTGCCACAAATTTGGGTAGTCTGTCAGGTGCTCCTGGACTCTTCTCAGTACTCCAAAAGCAACCTAATTGGCAGGTGAAGCTCCC